GCCCAACAAGTAGTATCAGAGCCCAACTTCAATGCTACAAGTATGAAGATGGCAAAATGATAGTGCATGGTGGTGTGTGCACTAGTTGCGGTCTTCCATTCCCATAATACTCTAAAAATGTGGGTAACACATAGTAGTGAATCTCAAAAATTGACCAGTGGATTATGGCAATGAGTCATATGGAACTTAGTTTGAGGGGGAGACTCGAGAATCGTGGTAGTGAGCCACGTGGAACTTAGTTCGAAGGGGAGATTGTTGGGTGTGCGAGCAAAATTATATATAGGGTGTAGGAATCTCTTAATAGTGTGAGGCCTTGTGGGGAAACTCGTACGAGCTTGGCCCCAAAAAAATAATATTTTACCATGTTAAACGTATCTTTAGATCGTTTTAGCCCAACAATACTAGTAGCCGTACTTAACAGCGATAAGTGCGAACAAGTACAACCAAATAGAAAAGAATGTACACTTAAGAATATAGGGAAGAAGTTGTGTGCTTTAGAATTGGTCCCGCATAATGTATTTGAGTTGACAAAGTAGGAGGGGGCAGTGATGTGCAAGTTATACGTATATATTAAGACAGGAGAATAGCTAAGGGCCTGTCCTTCCTACATTTTAGTGCATAGTGGGACTGGGACTTATTCACCAGAGATAAAATTGATTTTTCAGCACTCTTACTTGCTCACATGTGTACACGTCTCCCCCTTAATCTATCGCTCTAATATATGAATTTGGTCAAGTAAGGCTTACTTAGTTGGTAAAATATCCTTACTCACGATTTTTGGGTCATGAATTCGAGTCATGCTGGAGGGAAGCATAAAACTACTATAAACTTTATATATATATATGAGTTTGTGATGGTGTCACCACATCTCTCATTAATGCGACATGCTTGTTTCAATTCTTACTTTCTTCACCCCATTTATACGACAACTTCTTTCATAAGTTTCATTTCAAAATAATTATAACAAATATTTCAAGAAAAACACTCAAGATTATACACTTCTTATAAAATTCAAATTCATTAACTAACTCAAAATTTTATTCTTTAATGTGATACTTTCTCTATAAGGTTGCAGTTTACCTATTACGCTAATATTCTTTAAATATGTACTATATATATATATATATATATATATATGTCATGCCAAATCAAATATATCATAGTATAAAATAGGATGTATGAAGTATTTGACAACTCCTAATTAAGACTCAAGATCAAATATATTCTTGATTTGTAAATAATTCTCTTCTATTTTCCTCCGTTGTTTTCTTATTTTTAATTAAATATATACTTCAACAGTAACTAGCTAAAAGACAGCGTAATTTTAATCTTTTAGTGTAATTTTCATTTATAAGCTTATTTTTAATTTTCATTCATGCTAGTAGTCCTTAGCAATGACTAATAAGGTATGGAGTATTATAATTTCTAAGTAAGAAGTAGGAAAATTCATGAATTGGATAACAGCTGGATGTGGAATTTTTATGGTAAAATCTCCTTGTACTCTTGTGATAGAAAATGACAGAACTGACTAACGCTTAAGTTTTAATTAGGTTTCAACTCCGTGATATCACAGTAATATATTTGATGATTCTTCATATTTGGATTTTGTAGTTTAATTTGCTATTTGTATTTGAAGTTTATGGACTCGGAGTTCTAATCCTTTTAAGTTAATGGGTTTTTAATTAATAAGTTGTACATATTCAATAAATTTTTTAAGACAAATACATGGATTAGACCAAAGCGATTGAGTTAGGCTGAACCCGTACTCAACGGACTGACTCCGCCCCCAACTATAGTTAGACATTATACTTGCATTATGTCCTCATTAATTGGACATAATGTCTACATCACCCATCGAAATATCATAATGCCTATTTCTATCTCTTGCTTCTTAAGCTTTGGCAAAGAGAAAAGAGGTCCTATAATTAGCCACCAAAACTCGAATGGATGTTATTAGCAGAGGCCGAGTCTGGATTGAAGCTATATGGATTCAATCTCTCGAATTTATTATATTATTGAAATTATACGGTTTTATCTATTATTTATTATAATTTTAGTAAATTATGACAGATAAATTTATGTTTCGCATTAAAAGTATTGGATTCAAATGAATTCGGTGCAACAACGCTGCATCCACACGCTTAAATTGCACTTTTAGAACATATCTAGTTAGTAATGCAAGAAGTAAAAAAAAAAAGTTGAAGAAAGTTTAAGTGGGACGGGTTGAAAAAAAAAAATTGCTTTGCAAGGCGGGGCGAGGCGGGTTGAAGTTTTTGCGGGTTAAGACTGAACTTGTCCCGCAACCGCTTGCCCTACCCGATTGCCATCTCTATGTACTTTTAGCATATATAATAAGATGAAGTGGTCCAGAATATATGGTAATTGCTGCCTCCACACATGTGTTTGAAGGAAATAGAAGGGAACTCAATATTAGCATTTCCTCAAATTTTCATTCTCTTCTACTACCATAAATCTAGAATAATAACGAGTGACAAAAGATAACCAAGAACCTTTGCTTTTCAAGTTTTGGCCTTTTAATGGCAACCAAAACAATGAAATTAAACTAGTTGTCCAAATAACAATAACTTCCTCTAATGGCACGGAATGCTTCTTTCAAAAATGATTCCTACTTCCTCTCTATGGAGTTTGGAAAAACTTAAAGAATCTTGAAATGGATGGCTACCTAGAACATGATGTTAGCCTGACTTCAATGTAGTTGCAGTCTAATAGTTGTGACTTTAAACGTCTGACGGGGTCGTTTGGTACAATTATGGGATATTCCATTGGATTAGTTACATGGGATAACTAATTACATTATTTTAGTGTAAAGTTTATCCCAGAGATCAATAGTTAATTCTTATAATCAAATATGGAATAAATTTAATAACTTTCATCCAGGACCGTTTTATCATATTATATATTTCTCATTTCTTTTAGTCACGGGCTCACTCTTTTGCTATGAAGAAATTAGAAAGATAGCTTACTTGACCAATATTGACCATTCATACTTGATTAGGTGTGGTAAATGTACGGGTGGGGTCGAGTATGGGATGGGTCGAAAGCGGATAATAAAAAAAAAACGGATAAATTATTTGACTATACAGATAAAAAAAAAGTTAACTGCCCATATTATCCATGACTTTTTGAATATGAACATTTTTGGGAGAATTCCTAGTCTTCCATTCTCGGAACATGTTCCAAAGGGAAGTGGACAAATCTGTGGAACTTGGAAATTTTGAACAAAATCGTGCCCATTGAGAATATTTAAGTGATAGATAAGTATAATCTTTCTAAAGGAACATTTGTAAATTAGAGGAGACAAATAGGAAAGAGCAGATGCATTTGGATAGGAAAAATTGCTGTCTAACTCCAAAAATAATTGGAAATAACGGACCACAAAACCAATACAAGAGCATATAGAGTTACGATCGAAATAGATGGTACGTCAAAATTTTATATTATGTTATAATATATGTTTTCTATAACAATATTTTACTATAATATCCAAAAAAAATAGGAACAAAGGAGACTGTTATGGAGAGGTTTATTTGTAACAGAACCACCAAAAGTGTAAACAGACTGAATCCGGAAAAAAAAAGAGAGTTTTTTTTAAGAAAAAAAAAGATATATTTCTTCATTGTTAGAAGCATCATCTAGCATTTCACTCATTCAACTTTTTATTTCTTATTTTTCAATCTCATATGTTGTAAATCCATTCTAAAATGCACCTTAAATAAATGGACGTTACATGACAAAAACAATTTGTTTTAGCACCTATTGAACAAAATTTTAACTTTTGGGGGCTGTTATATTTGTGTTTAATAGGCAAACTTTTGGCAACATTAGGAGTTCAATAAGCTAGACCTAAAATTGATGTTCAAATATAAAAATAAAAATAAAAAGTCATGCCAATTTTAATAAACGGTCCACCATATTTGTATTTATCTATACTTACCTACCTATGCTATTAAGATGAGCAAGAAGAGACAAAGGTAACAAGGGCGGATACACTTTAGTCCAAGTGGTGTCGCGTGACACCGTTTGATCGAAAAATTTATTAACTATATATATATTATTAAAATTCAAAAGCAAAATAACTTTTAAATTCAGAAAATGACACCACTTGTCAAGAATTGTTGTGTAGCTCATTCGGTCAAGAGCTTCACTTATGTTTCAATAATTTTTTAGCCTTATCTATGTGACACTAAATTATTTGACTTTTTGTTTTAATTGTCTCGGGTATTTTTTTTCCTTTTCTTTTTCTTTCTCAAAATTGAAATTGATTAAAAACAACGTGCAAAATTGAATAGATGATGAGTTTTTATATAATTATCTAGTGTTTTCTATAAAAGGAAATATTTAGTATTATTTTTAACGAAGTTGTTGAGTACATTTTAGAAAATAAAAATTCACTTATTATTTTTGGGGTGTGTTTTATGAATATGATTCTAACGATATTTTTAATATGATGTTATTATAGTGAATTATTATTTGTTCGCTTTTTAAAACTGTGACACCGTTTATAAAGTTCTGCGTACGTCACTCAAAGAGAAGATGTCTCAACTTGGAATTTGGAAAGAGCAATGTTGGAATCTTGAAAAGGCAATCGTCTTTTTCATAAGTAGGAAAGGTGAATAACTTTTACTACAAAAATATAGAACAATAAGAAAGCATCGGAAACAAAGAATATATTATCCTATTTAATTATGCTACACGGTGCATAACATTTGGCTAACAAAAACTTACAAGTATTGAAATATATATATATATATATATCATATTATATTATTTTTTAATTAATATTATTATGATAAGATGATAAATAGTGTAGTAGTAGAAAACTGTAATATATACGTAAAAGGTACATAGATGAGTCTCTCAGAATACGGACTTTCGTGCTAAAAAATGGGTAGAACCGGGTCCCGACCGCCATTACCGACCCGATTCAGAAATATAAACAACCCTAACTATGATCGTAAAGAGTAGCCCTAGCATTCAAATTGAAGCGACACAAAATCTTTCAATGAAACTGAATATGACACAAAAGATGAAGTCCAATCCCCATGAGGGAAAATTAGCAAATAGTTTTTCTCCAAATATACAAATGGCGAAAAGTCAACAGAATAAGAAGAAGAAATCTGTTGCAAATACAATAAACGATAATCTTTCCAATCAAATTAGTAGCAAAAGACAAAAGTTTAATGAGAAATCAGTGCTTCCCCATCCAATTCGCAAAGGTATTTGTTTCTTCTTCTGTTGTTGCTGCTGTCTCTGTGTGTGTGTGTGTTTTCTGCACTATTTCACCAGCTACCACCTAACTCTACCCACCGAGGCCTCTCTCTATCGTGTTTATACATAATTAGGGCTAACCATCTATGAAATTGCAGGGAAGAGCGTGTTGGATAATATTACAGATCAGACGAATGTTGATTAGGTGAGTTCTGATTTCAAGCTGGACTTAGATTGATTAGGTCGGTAATTTTAAATTTTTGAAAACTTATTTTAACCTATAACGTAGTATTATATTGTTGCCATTCAACCAATAACAACAATAATAACAACTATCAAAACTATATTAACAAAATTTATGGAGTTTCAAAAAGGCCAACAACTAAACTTTCACAAGTTAAAACTTCACATCATTCAATGAGTGCTATGTACATCTCCATTTCCACTTCTAGAAGCTTCATCGTCGGCATGATTCGAAGGATCACAACGAAAAGGATTAGCATTTGGGTAAGACTCACGAGACCGGAGAATCGGGAAAGCACCATTAGCAAGAAGATTGGTCAGACCTTGAAGGACATTAATTACACTTACATATATATGACAAGCATTGATGCTTTAATTTATTCTCAATAGTTCATTACAGCGCTCGAATGCTTGATCGGTGAATAAATAAGAAAACAAATCTTGAAGTTTAATTGAACATTTTAAACATTTTATTTATTATGAACCTGCAGTATTAATCTTAAATTTAAGTGACTAGATGTTCCAGTATAATGAGTGACTAGATGCTCCAAGTTGTGTACAATCGACAGAGTCTTGAATGTTTTATTCTCGATCACCTTAGTAGTACTTTGCTTGGACACTTTATCTGTGGATCAATTGGAAATTCAATTATATTAGATTAAAACTTTCTATAACACATTTAAAAACAAAGTGTATAGTTTTCAATAAGATGTAGTGCTATATTAATACTTAAGTTGTAGCAACAACAACATATATATACTTATATTAATGGTATATTAATACTTAAGTTGTAGCAACAACAAAATATTAATATTTATATTAATGATATATTAATATTTATGTTGTTGTTGCTACAACTTAAGTATTAATATAGCACCACATCTTGTAGAGCTAAACACTTTATTTTTAAATTTGTTATAGTAAGTTTTAATTGAATATAATTGAATTTTCAATTGATCCAGTGATGAAGTATTCGAACAAAGTACCGATAAGGTTATCGAGAATAAAACATTCAAGACTTTGATGTGTATTACACACACACACATATA